ATGTCCTCTGGGAAAGAAGGGAGCAAAGAGTGTTGGAATTCCCTGACAACTCCCCAAAGTCTCTGATTCCATCATTCTCATAAATACATCATGGGCTTGGACCAGATTACTGGAGACTACAAAACCCTGTCCATGCAACTCCATCCCTCTTCTGAGCTACTAGATCCCGAAGAGTTAAAGGCTTTAGGCTGTCCTCACCTTGAGTATTTAAGAGAAGGTATTTTCCCATGGGAGATAGCTTATTGTTTACAGAAAATAATGAATTTGGAGGAGTAAGAATTCCCTGGAGACTGAGGAGCAATGGAGAAGCCCAGTGGAGATAAATTTTCATAAAATAGAGGAAAGGACACAGGCAGAGAGGATGTAAAGCAAAGCCTCCAGCCTGAGACAACCTCTTTTCTTTTTGGAGTAGCAAGTGAAATTCTAGAAAGTTCTCTAAGGCTTTGACAAAGACAGCTTCTTAGAATATCCATGAGTCATAGCAGGACTTAGGCTTGAGACTTCAAGAGAAGTGTCAGACTGAGTGTACAGGTCTGGGGCACAGATTGAAGTGTAGTAATTGTGTATGTGTTGGGGGGATGGTAAGTTGGAGACAGACTGAGAATCTGTATGGAACACTGAATAGTGGGGGAGCTCTGCCATAACTTTACAAAGATTGAAAAAAAAACAAACAAACATCTATTCAGTAACCAAATAATTAATCTGGAGATTTTCCTTAAAATGTCCTCAGAAGTCAGAGCTTAGAAAGTAGAACATTCCTCTGTCATCATCATTAGCCTCTGAGATCTTTTTTACTTTCTCCGATTCCTAAAATCAAACAAACAAAAAAACATGGATTCTAGACCTGACCCTGATGCTGAGTTCCTACTGCCTTTACAAGTTTGTTCTGCTCATTACTATGAGACTTTAGCCCTCTGTGTGTTGATGTCTGTTCTACTCCCTTTTTAATGTATCTTTTTGCTCCTGAGTAGTACCATATTTCAATAAAACTTCACTCAAGGTCTCACAGGACATCTTCACTGTCCTTTCTAGTTCATTAAATATTTACTGAGCTTCCAACTATGTGTAAGTTCAAGTGTTGGGAGCTGAAGATGTAAGATAGATATATGTGACTCTGCTTCCAAGGAGTTTATGAGTTTGTACAATTTATTTATATATGAATAGACCTTCACACACATATGTAATGTAATGTACAACATATACATACATAATAATTAAATTTCTTATTGTTAGTATTATTATTAGTATTATTAATAACCTTTAATATGAAAGTGTTAAGTAAATTTCCAGCTCATATGATCCCTCATATTATGGCTTTCCTTTCCATGTAATTATCTGGAATTGAGTTCAAGGACACTGGAAACTTTTATATAACTTGTACTTTAAGGGAGTTTTCAACCTATGAAGGCACAAAAAGGCAAATAAGAGTCCTCCCCTACCTTACAGTGAAATTAGATATAGGAAATATTCATAGAATTGAAATGTAAATATCAGTCAATTTATAGTCTTTGGTTTGGTTTTCATCTGTAAAGTGACTAGGTTGCTAGATAATCTTTGAAAGTCTTTGAGTCTATGATCTATAATTATATCTATAATTTGTAATGACTGATCAGTCATTCCTTTTCACATATAACTAATTTCTTTCCCTTTGAATTTGTACTGGAGAAGGTTCTCTTAACTCTAACCTCAATCAGAGGTTGGTTCTCCACCTCCTACAAAAACAAAATCCCATATTTTCAATGCTAACATTCTACTGAGGTGACTAGATGGTATTGAAGTATGGACAGCAATTGCCTGTGAAGAACTAAGTATCTTCCAGAGGGCAAAGGAGAGACTCACAGTCAGTATGATTCTGCCACTATAAAAGACCAATGAGGAAATATGAAGAAGAATAAGAGATGGATTCAAGGGATTTTATGATAGGAAGAGAACATGGGCTTATCATGAGGCAAGAATGAGAGCCTGAGTGCTGAACTGATACCCTCTCAATGTCAACAAAATGAAGAAGGCCTCCAATATGTTCAGTGAGTCTTCCATGCTAAAATTTTGGAGGAACATGGACAAGACTTCCATATGGTGGATACTTACAAAAGAATTGGAAAAAAGTTTAAAATGAATGCAATCACAGAAACATTTGCATATTTGGATAATGTCAGTTATCCAGGCAGCATAGTGAGCAGCAGAATCAGGAACATCTAGTTTCAATTACCTCCTCTAAGAGGTACTGGTAAGTAAACCTTCATAAGTCGTTTAACCTCTTCTTTCCCCCTTAGGACTTTACTGCACCAAATGACAGTTTGATTTTAATGATGTTTGTTTTTTTTAAAAAAAGACATAAAATAAAACAAAAACTTCTCTCAGAATGTTATTACAATTAAACCCATTTCTTCTTATTTTGCTTACAATAAGACTGGGAACTACCTTCAATTCTCTCCTCCTCCATTCTGTGTCCTATGTGTCCTGACTCATCTGCCTATTGCCCCTCCCTCTTTTTTAAATTCCCATTTAATGTTCATTTGCATTCTTCTGCTTATCTTCAATTCTGAGCCAAACTTCTTGTCCATTTAGAATTTTGGTTTCATTCATATATATATACACACACATATATATACATATATGTACATATATATACTCATATATATATACATATATACATATATGTACTCATATATATACATATATACATATATACTCACATATATACATATATACATATATGTACTCATATATATATATATATATACATATATACTCACATATATATACATATACATATATATGCATATATACTGTTGAATAGCTTTAAAGTCTATCTGCATTTTGGGGGGGGAGGATACATCTATGATTTTATCATCTCAAGGAAATTGTGGGTAAGAAAATTCACTCTACCAATGAAGAATAAGAGCATCTCTGAAACATGTTGTCTTAAAAGGTTTATCAGAGGTAAATGACTTGCCAAATTTCACACAACTAGTATGTGTCAGAAGTGGGATTTCTGACTCTAGGTCTATGTCTAGTCCTCTATCCATTATGCTACAATTTATATCGTAGGCTGGAAAATAATATACTAGATTCTTCTAGCACTTTTTTTCCCTTTGTGTGTAGAATTAGGACAAATTTTTTCAAGAATTTCTGGATCTCATTTGAAAGGTCTACATTGATTTAGGGATTTTTTTAATGAGTACTTAGAATTTATTTTCCTCTTTATCTTAATAGATGTAATCATTCAAGTTTCAATTATTTTCACGATCTTTTTTTCAAATGTTTATCATGAACAATGTAATAAACAAGCACCAAGTGCCCTAAAAAGTAATATTTATTTTTAACATTTAGATGCACAAGAACACTAACTTTTTATGTACTTTTCCAAGAAAGAAAATCTGTGTAATTCTTCCATTTGCTTACAACTTTTAGTTATCTTTTGGATTAATTTATACTGAAAATGTTGAAATTAAGATGCCAGTTCCTCTACTGATTTGACTGGTTACTTGAAAAGAATCTTACATTTATAGTACAGTAGCTAAGTTAATGTTTATAGATGGTCTTGAAACTGTGATTTTTCACAAATTTTCATCTTTCCTGTCACTGTGTCATTATCATTGTAGAAGTGAAAGGAAACTTTGTTCTTCTAATTCTTTAAATATTGCATAGATATCAATGGAATAAATGGGCTTTCCATTGGTTATTTCCAATTCTTGATATGTGACTGTTCCATCACTTTTCTGGGCATATCATTTTTAATAAGAATGCTAATATGTATATTATTGAGTTACTACAGTAACTATATATAATATGAAATATAAAATAGTGTATAATAAAATATTTCCAAGTTTACCAATTAAAACACACATTTATTAGTCAATGGGCACATTTATACTGTCAGAAGTTACTTTAATATGAATAGATGATACCCAAGCTATCTTATTTTTATTTGCCTTTACTCCTTTTCTGACAGTCTTTAATCATCTATGCAGAAAGAAAAGAAACCAATCTTATGAGATTGAGGAACATTTTGTATTTGTTTTGATTTCATAGGTACCATCAGTAAATGGTTACTATACCTGTGGTGATAAGCCTCTCTGTGTAGGTTGGTCCTCAGAAACCATACTAAATATTTCTTTGGGATGACACTATGACCATTTCAGCAAGGTAAAATCAATCAGAGCTTGTACTCCACTGATACAGTCTTTGAGAACTCAGTTCATCTTCACGTCACAATGAGACATCACAATAGGCTTTTGTGAGGTTATTCTGTGTAGCTTTAAAAACAAATGAGTTTTAATAAACAAAGCTTTAAAATTTGAAGTAGATATTATAAATTTTATATTTAATTTAAAACATTTTGTAATTTTTAAGTTACATGGAACTATAGAGATGAAAAATGACCCATTTTTCCCCTAAAGAAATTTACAGAATAGTAGTATAGTAGAATATAAATTATATGTACATAAACAAACATAATTCAAGGTAGAATTTTATAAGAGCAAAGAATATATATATAGGTATAGGGTTCTGGGAAAGGTTTAGAAAGACAGGCCATTTTATTTAGAGGTTATATAATTATGAACTTCAATTCTAAGGGGAAGAGAAGGGAATAAATTTTATATGGAACCTTCTATGTACCAGACACTGAGCTACATATCTTGCAAATGTCATCTCATTTAATCCTCATTCTCAATTGATCTTATATCTATTTTAGAAGAATTGGCTTCAGAAGCATCATTTTCCTTGTCAAACTTCTCATCTCTTCTTGCTGACAAGGAGCAAAAGCCAACTCTGTGGCTATCATTTCAGATCTGTCATGATATCCTCTGATTAGTCATGTCAACTGTCAATGTCTCTGATATTGAAATATCCACCTTCTTCTTGATTGGAATTCCAGGTGTTGAGCACTTCCATATCTGGATCTCAATTCCTATATGTCTCATGTACCTAGTTGTCATCCTAGGAAACTGAACCATCCTCTTCATCATAAAGACAGAGCCTTCGCTCCAGAGCCAATGTACTATTTCCTCTCCATGTTGGCTGTACCTGACCTGGGCCTGTCACTTTCTTCCTTGCCCACCATGCTAAGGATCTTCTCATTCAATGCCACAGGAATCTCACCTGATGTCTCCTTTGCCCAAGAGTTCTTCATCTACGGCTTCACCAATATGGAATCATCAGTCCTTTTGATCATGTCTTTTGATTGTTTTCTAGTCATCTGGAACCCACTGAGATGCAGCTCTATACTGACTGGAGCCAGAGTCTCTAAAATGGGACTGGCTTTGGTCATTAAGAGCATGCTTTTGGTGCTCCCATTTCCTTTTACTTTAAAGAGGTTGACATATTGTAAGAAAAGTCTCTTGTCCCATTTTTACTGTCTCCACCAGGATGTCATGAAGTTAGCCTGTTCTGATAATACTGTCAACTTTTTCTATGGTTTCTTTGTTGCTCTTTGTATGATGTCGGACAGCATATTCATAGCTATATCATATGTACTTATACTAAAGACTGTGATGGGTATTGCTTCACACAGAGAACTGCTTAAGGCCCTCAACACCTGTGCTCCCCATATCTGTGCTGGTCTCATCTTCTATGTGCCCATCGTTACTTTAGCCTCGACGCACGCTTTGGCAAGAAGTCACCACTGGCATTGATCCTAATTGCAGATGTCTTTCTTCTGGTGCCACTGCTAATGAACCCTATTGTGTACTGTGTGAAGACCAGGCAGATTAGGGAGAAAGTCCTGGAGAGGCTAGGTCTGAAGCAAAGGTGATGGAGCCAGATTTGGGTTGCTGATTATAGTGAAAGCTGAAGAGAGTTTCTCTAAATATCAATGCCATAGAAAACCCTCTAACCAGCACCAATGTTGAAATGATCATCATTGATAACAACACCACCATTGTTGTTATCACCGTCATCATTACCATCGGTGACAAGAACACTATTTTTTTCCTTGATAAATCTGTTGCAGGAACTTCTTGGAGTTCACACAATCATAATTTCACTTATCAGAAACTATCAGTTCTGAAAAGACAAATTGGCAAAAAACAGTCTTGTGAATAATCAATTTGAAATACAATTATCCACATTGTCTCTATTCTAAGGTTAAAGGTAACCATAAAGTGAAGATAGAGTGGAGAGTTCAGAAATTTTCTGAGCAGAAAGTGCGGGGCTGAGGGAAGATGGAATATAAAATAACCATTTCTCTCTTTTGGTATCCTTCTTGCTAATAGAAAACAATGATGAAAATCAGTTTGAATGCCAGATTTCTCAAAGAAAAAATTTTAATTACTCAAATATTGTTAAAAAATTAAAACACATGACAGAGAATCTCTCAAAATCAATTGAGACAATAAAAAGAAATGATTTGGAGTTCAGAAATACTAATGATAAATAATATTCCACAATAGGGAATCAAAAGACTGCAAAGTCAATCAATTACTAAATATTTGTTAGTATTTACTACATGCTAGACACTGTATTAGGCACTGTGAATACAAAACAAAAGTGAAATAGTTCTTGAAGCAACTGATATAATAGCAGTTGGAAAACACATGTATGCATATATAAAAGAGAGGGAGGGAGGGAGGGAGAGAGAGAGAGAGAGATTTTTATCTAGAGAGGTTGGATGGGTTGGGGACAGAATACATGCTAAAGAAGTCTTCATATGGAACATGGCATATAAACTGTGTCTTGAATGAAACTAGGGATTCTAAGAGATAGACATCAAGAGGGAAAACATTACAAGCATAAGGGATGAAAGTTCAAAGTTGTGGTGACTGGAGGTGGGGTAGAATGCATGAATAACAGTAAGGACAGTTCAAATTCACTGTAGGGTGTGTGAAGTGGCAAAAATATAATCAGGTTTGAAATGTAAATCGAGGCCAAGTGGTGATGAATTTTGAGTAACAAAAGAGAAGTCTATGTTTGATTCAGGTAAAATAAGAAGAAATTGGAAATTACTGATTAGTGAAGTGATTTGGTACAACTTGCATCTAAACCACTTAAAAAGAACATTGGAATAGCATCTATTCAACTCAATGTGATCAGTTTTATAGATATGCTATTCAGAGAAAATTTATAAATCATAGGTCTCTGAAGGAATTAGTATCAAAAATCAAACTTGTAAAAACCCAAGAAGTATTTGAAACAAGGGATGAAAAGAAGCTTAGTAAACTCCATAGGACAAGAACAGAAAAAAACAAAACAAAACAATTCTACTCAACAAGAAATGTATTATGTAAAATTAAAACAACAGATGTTGGAAGCAGCAAAGAGAAACCTCTTCAGTTTCAATGAAAGCCTATATTTGTCTCACAACCATGCTGTCTCTACGATAAATAGCACATAAAATTATAATATGGCCTCTTGAGAAAAGAAAAAAAAGTTTATATACCAAGATAATTCCTCAAGAACTGAACTTTCAAAGGGAATACATGTAAATATGAATGGAAAACATATAAAACACATAATGATATTTAAGAGGAAAATATAACTGAAAAGTAAAAAGTGAGAAAGCAAAAAAACCCCATAATGAATAAGGTGATTTCACAATATTGAAAAAATAAGGATAATTATCAGAAAATGTACAATCAAATTGCATGCCAACTAGCTAATAATTTAAAGGAATTAGGCAATTCACAAATAAATGCATAGAAATGACCAAAATAAGGAATAACTAATTTTTTAAATAAAATCCAATATTAGTAGGAGCATTCAAGCCACTCAAAAATAAAATTCTATAGACAAAAGTGTCTGGGGGGAAGCTAGGTGGTGCTGTGGATAGAGAGCACTGGCCCTGATGTCAGGAGGGCCTGACTTCAAATCCAGCCTCAGACGAAATACTTGACACTTATTAGCTGTGTGACTCTGGGCAAATCACTTAATCCCAATTGCCTTAAAAAAACAAACAAACAAACAAACAAAGACAAAGGGTAAAATAGGCCTAGATAAATTTATAAGTAAATTCTAACAAAATATAAATGGTATCAAAACAAATTAGTAACTGTTCTACAAAAATACTTCTCAAAAATTTGCAGGAGAAATTTGCCTATAAAACTACTTTTATGAGGAAAAAATTTCTAATAACCAAAGAAAGAAAGAATAAAACCAAAAAAAGAGACCTACCAAACATTTTTTGATGAAAACAGATGTAACTTCTTAGATACAATCTTAGAGTACAAAAATAATATATACATATAGGTGTATATGCATATACATGTATATGTGCATTCCTGCATAGCCAGCTAAGTGATGAAATGAATGGGGTGCTGGACCTAGAGTCAGGAAGACATGAGGTCAAATCCAGCCTCAGACAGTGATAGTATTGATCTGAATATTTAGAAGAATTCCTTACTAGGAGCAGAAATAACAGGCCCTATATGTATTCATTTGCATTTTTAAACTCATGCCAGACTTTATTTTTATTCCAATTAAATTTCACCTCACTGACTGTAATCCATTCATCTGAACTTCCAAGTAGGGTTTTTTTTTTTGATCCTATAGTCCAAGGTATCCATTTGTGTGGACTGCAATTTTGAAAGTAAGAAAATGTAGAAATAGTGGCTGTCCCCAAATCAGAGATCATTGATACTGACTCAACAATTATATTTTAATTTTTAGTATGCATTTGGGCCCCAGTACTTGTCTCACTGATTTACAACTTTGAGGTGGAAATAGTGAGATGAAAACTTAAGCTCACCTTTCCAATTTTGCCTTTTAACTTGCTCTATAACCTTGGGTGGGCTCCTCAGCTTCCCTGGACTTCTGGTATTACTTTTGTAAATGGTACAAATGAGAAACCAGTGTCTGAGAATAACTAGTTTCACTCAGAGATGATGGAGGGGTCTAGAGAGAAAGCATAGATAAGATGTTTTCTTAATTAAAAAGTGAAATCACAGAAGCATGTAGTTATAGGTTTTACCTTTTTTGTAGGTAAATGTTCATAGAATGGCCACCTAATTCCAGGCATAGACTAACACCTAAAAATGAATCAAGATTAAGCCATATTGAAACTCTTCCATGACCCTACAAAGAAAACACCAACTCAAATTAAAGTTAGCTGTTCACTAAAAAAGAGATTAATATCCCTTACTTTGGCCATAGGCTGACCTTTATCTCTAGTACTAAGGCTTAGCACTGAATTCCAGTCACAAACAAGGAAGAAGACATAAAAACACAAGGATTAGTTGGGAAGGAAGAACCTGTGTGGGAAAGGCAATGGAACTGAGATTCTGGTACAGAAGAGAGAGCACTCGATTCTGAATTGAAGGGTTGGGTTTGAAATCTAGTTTTCTTACTTGCTAGCTCTGTGACTTGGGCAAAAATATTTAAATTGTCTACACTTTTCCCCTTTATTTGCCCACTTTACAACATTGTTAGGAAACTCAAGTGAGCTGATATGTCACAAAAAACATTCATAAATTATAAAATGTAGAGAAATATTAGTTATTGTGGAAAAAGCAGGTGATGAGGATAGGAGAATAGAGACCAATAATTATTTAAAGTTCCTGATAGTGTATTATTTAGCAGAGGACATATTCACCTCTGGATCACAGGAATTCCCAAATTCAATTCTGTCTTAAAGAATTTCAAGGGTGCTCAAGAAATGATCCAATTAGCTGCTAATTTCACCTTAATTACTGGTGGTAGGAAGACAATGCCATGGCAATCATTAGAATGGGTCGCACTTATGTGATCTGGGCAGGTCAATTACTGTCATTTTCCTCATCTGTCAAGTGGGGTTAATGACTTTCAAATTCTCTATTTCCCAAGGTTCTTTCTTTCTTTCTTTCTTTTTCGCTGCTAATAGTCTTTTTAAAAATTTATTTTATTTTTAGTTTATGGAAACAAGCATTTCCGTATTATAATAAAAAGATGATTACACATGAAATTGCAAATCTACTATGTACAACTTACTATTCCTTTTTAATATACAACAAATTTATCATGTACATTTATTTTTTCCAAAAATGATACAGTTATTTATTCTCAAGTTATACATTCATTCGTTCACAAGGTTATTTCAATACTCAAAGGAGATAATATATGTAAGGCATTGTGTAATGTATGAAGTATCATCATCTCCTTCTTCCTCCTCATCAGTTCTACCACCAACATTATCACCTTTGACACACAACCACTTGATAAACTGATAAATAGTTAAATAAACAAGCGTGTGAATCAAATACAGAATTGCAGCTACCCATCAGGTCCAGCAGTAGACAATCACAAAACACAAAGCAGTACTCTCCAAAGACTTGAACATTCCTACTTGTTCCTTGTCTGCCATCCCCAGCTATAAAAATGTTAAATCTGTGCCCTTGAGCCCTAACTCAAACCCGGGATTTATTTCTGGAAAAGCTCCAAATTTACACATAGACTGAGGAGATTTCTCCTATTCCTCAGAGAATTTCTGGGAGAGGTGGAGTGGGAGGGATGAGATCTTTGTGGATGGAGATAAACTGTGGTCAGCAATCTGTTGGGCACAGAGGCTGAGGAGCCTCCATCTTGAGCCTATGCACAATTCTCTCTTACGTAGAAGCCTAGAACCCGGTAAGTTCTAAATGCTCCATTGAGCTGCCCCAGAAATTCTGAAGCAAGGATGAACAGGAAGAAAAGCTGGAGGGGAAAAAGTGAGATGTGAGGCATAATCCTGAGCCCATGAATGTGTAGGAAGGGGCCCAAGTATGTATGTGTGTTCATGTATCTTGGTAACTATTTATATATGTATTACGAAGTGTTTTTATACCTAAATACATCAATATATTTGTTTATGCTTGCATTAATGCATAGGTATGAATGTGTTTGCATACAAGTCCATTTATGCACTTGTACATATAGTACATAATCGGGTGTTAACATATGAGTATGAATATTAATATTCAGGTAAACATTGAACAGAAGAGCCTTTCATCTCTGAGACTCTGAGTGTGTATGTATATATGTATGTGTGCGTGTTTGAGGGTGTTTTTCCTATGGAAGCATATATGTGTAGAAAGGAGTGTATGTGTACTCAGATATATGAATAAATACTGGAGTGAATGAGGAAGGAAGTGTTGGAAGAAGTCATTGAAGGTGAGTAGAGCCCTGACTCAGGGTCAAAGATAGGAGAACATATCCCATTCAGTGACCATATAGGTCTTGGTGAAGCTTTTCTCCTAACATTCTCAGGGCCCAGATTTAGAGTCTGAGAAGTGGTATATACCTTTCTGGCAAGATGGAGCAGATAAGAAGGTACTGATGGAGAAATCTCAGCTGAGAATTCATGCAAATTATCCAGGAACCAATTTGTATTGTCCCTGTACACCTCTCTGAGGAACAAATTTTGAATTTTTTCCATACCGTGGAATATATGGGACCTTTAATAAGCCCCATTGCTGAGCAGCAGAGAGGCAGTGGGGCATTTTAGAATAAAGAATCTGGGACTCAGAGTTCTGGAACAAGCAGACAAACCTCATTCTGCATTCTGCTGCCATCAGGCCAGATTTAGAGTTCTGTGTTTAGTTTGGGGGGTAAAGGGGACTACCTTTTAAAAAGACATTGAATAGCTGAAGAGCCTCCAGAGGAAATGAACCAAGATGATGAAAGTTGAGGAGCTCATGTTTTATAAGGATTGGTTGAAGAAAGTGAGATGTTTAACCTACAGAAGACTCATTGGGGAACATGATAGGGGTATATAATTATTAATAGGACTGCTATGTAGAAGAAGTAATAGACTTTAGGAATTTAGAAACAGAAACAATAGGTGAAAGTGGCAAAGAAATAGATTTAGGCTTTATGTAAGGAAAAATGTCCTGGGATCAGGAAGATCTGAGATCAAATCTTGAATACTTGCTATGTATTCATGAACCTTTGGAAGTCACTTAACCCCTATCTATTTCAGTTTCTTCATCTGTAAAATAAGGATAATAAGAGTGAGTATGTCCCAGGGTTATTGTGACAATCAGATGAGAGATTATTTATAAAATGCTTTGCAAACCTTAAAGCACTATATTCATCTTATCAATTACTAATATTAACAAAATTTGAGCTATACAAAAGCAGAATTTTTATAGTCTTTGATGGTATTTTACTTAGTGGCATAGAATGAATGAGCTTTAGAAGTCATTCAATCCAATCCCAACAAATTTAGTAATTCTTTCCATAATATAACTATGAGGTACTTATTAAGCTTCTGTTTGAACAGTGCCTTTGATGATGAGGAGTTCACTGCCATTTTCCCATTCTTTCTGTCTCTGCCTGTTTCTATCTGACTGTCTGTCCATTTCCCCCTCTACCTCTTTCTTTCTTCCCACCTCTCTCCCTCCCTTTGTCTCAGTTCAAGAGTTCTTAACTTTTTTGTGTGTCAGAGACCCTTTTGGAATTATGGTGGAGTTTATGGACATCTTCTCATCATAATGTTTTTAAATGCACAAAGTAAAATATATATGATTACAAATGAAACAAATTATATTGAAATATAATTATGAAGATAGTTTTAAAAGCTCACTCAATATAAATGATATATAGCCAAAAGATGTACAGGACAAATCTCTATTCATGTCATTTTAGACCTGGGAACAGAATTTATCTTCCTTCTCATCATGTCAGACTTCAACACCTCTGAGGTTAAGCTCTTTTTCTTGATTGGGATTCCAGGATTGGAGCATACTCACATATGGATTTCTATCCCTATCTGCCTCATGTATTTGATTGCCATCCTAGGCAATTGCACCATCCTGTTTGTGATCAAGACAGAAACCTCTCTCCATGAGCCCATGTACTATTTCCTCATCATGTTGGCCATCTCTGACCTGGGCCTCTCCCTCTCCTCCTTACCCACTATGCTGAGAATATTCTTGTTCAACGCACCAGGAATCACCCCTGATGCTTGCTTTGCTCAAGAGTTTTTCATACATGGCTTCACAGTTCTGGAATCATCGGTACTTCTGACCATGTCCTTTGATCGTTTTATAGCCATTCACAACCCCCTGAGATACAGCTGTATCTTAACCACTGCCAGAATTTTAAAATGGGGCTGGTTTTGAGCATCAGGAGCTTCCTTTTAGTGCTTCCATTTCCATTGACTCTAAAGAGGCTGAGCTATTGTCACAAAAACCTGTTGTCCCACTCCTACTGTCTTCATCAGGATGTCATGAAGCTGGCATGCTCTGACAACAGGGTCAATCTTGCCTATGGCTTCTTTGTTGCACTCTGTACCATGATGGACCTGGCATGCATTACTTTGTCCTATTTGCTGATCCTAAAGACAGTTCTTGGCATTGCCTCTCTCTCAGAGAGATTCAAGGCTTTCAACACCTGTGTCTCTCACATCTGTGCTGTGCTTATCTTCTATGTGCCCATTATCACCCTAGCTGCCATTCATCGCTTTGCCAAGCACAAATCTCCTCTAATACTGATCCTCATTGCCAACATCTTCCTCCTGGTACCACCCCTGATGAACCCTATTGTGTACTGTGTGAAGACTCGGCAGATCCAGGAAAAGATCCTCAGGAAACTGTTTTCTATATGTGGCAGATGAGGACTTGGTTGCGGTTTACCTCACTTTGATAAACATTTACAAAATACGAACTATATAGCATGGAAAAAATATTAAACTTAGATTAAACACAGTTCCAGATATCAGGCATCATCCAGTCCAGTAGGGTCATATTCATCATATACAAATGAATATAATACATAATGCTACATAGTAAGCACCTAAGACAGGTGCTAATAAATTGCTACATGAGGTCCAAGGGGAAGAGGTAATTTCTGAGTGGTGAAAATTGAGGAAATCAAATTGATTTTATTTTGTATCACTATCAATATTTTGTGTAACTACCTGTTATGTTTCATTTCTCTCTGAATTAAGTTTAGAAGTTTAGTTTTCCTGCTAATCCCTGTTCTGCTGTCCTTGAAATTTGTTATCCTTGAAGAATGCAAGTGTATGCCAGGGAATCTGGTCTGTTATCTCTGTAATGCTGAATATTGTTAAAGGAAGTCTGGTCTGTTATTGCTGTGACACTACCTAACCATGCAGATGGACATCACCATGAGCTGTCCAAAGCAACAAGATAATAGAAGCAGTTAGTTGTAGCTAGCCCTGAATTCCAAATTTCCAACCAATCATACTGTTCCTCAAATCTATGATGTTTCTCACTTTGTAATCACATTGTTTCACCATCTGTGATGATGCTTTCTAGTTTTTGGATACTCCTCCTTTTGTCCATAATAATGACCCATCAGCCCTCATTCAGGGTCTTAACTAGCTCAGGAGGATGAGACTCTGTTTATTGGCAAATTTATTCTTTGCTGATAAATTGTACTTAGAGCGTTTGCCTCAGTTTACGTAATTTCAATTGTGACACTAGGTTGACCAAAAGTTTCATGAAAAAGGTAACATTATAGCTAGGCATAAAAGATGGGTATAAAAGTAGAGAGGTAAAGGACATAGGAAGAAAATTCCAAGTATAGAGAACTAAGTGAGCAAAGATGTTGAAGCAGAAAAAATAATGGTTGTTTAGGAGACAATAAAGCACACGTTTAGAAGTAGGAGGCATTTTCAATGTTATTCCAATCTCAAACCCTGGTCAGTTCACTTAACCTATTGACCTCAATTTCCTCACCTATAAAATGATGATAATAGTAGCATCTATTTCATAGGGTCAGGATTATTTTTTCTGGATTAAATGAGACAACATTTGCAAATTGCTTTGTAAACTTTAAATCTTCATGTAAATATTAGTTAATACGTGTGTATGTTATATATTTGTGTGTATACATATATGCATACACATATACATACATCCATATACATAAAAACACATATTTGAACATTTTTGTTCAGTCTTGGCTAACAGAAGATTCCTAATGAATATGCTTGAATATCTCTAATCATTAAAAAAAAAAAAAGGGAAACTGTGACAGGTAGCTGGTTGTAAAATTTAGTCTTTATAGTGCACCAGAGATATACCCATAAATTCCCTACTCTTTTCCTGCTTTCTGTAATCTCAGAAAAAAAATAGGGAGATATTTAACTAATTAATTAGTTAAGGTTGTGTGTGTGTGTGTGTGTGTGTGTGTGTGTGTATGTGTGTGTGTGTGTGTGTGTGTGTGTGTGTGTGTATATACATATATACATACATACATACATACATACACACATACTCCACCAGAGGGTGCTGTTTACACTGTTTACACATGTGTAAACTCCCTCCTCACAAATATCTCAGCTCTACTTAGGTAAACAACAACATTAGCCCAGGGTACTATGTAGATCTAGTTATGACATGGAAAACTATTCAACATTATTAAAAATATGTCATCACTGATTTTGACCTTCCCCTCTTATTTTGGGTTTTCCCTTTCTTATTCTGAAGTGACAAATCTTAGGACTTGGACCATTCATTCATTCACTCAAGTGTTCATTACTTTATTTGCTTATTTGTTTAATCTTCTATCCATCTCTCTCTCTCTCTCTCTCTCTCTCTCTCTCTCTCTCTCTCTCTCTCTCTCTATGTATCTATCTATCTATCCACCTTGGTTTGTCTTTAATGTATATGATTGATTGGAATATAGTTAGTTAAAAAGAAAACTATAACATAGCAGAAAAGACAAATTATAAAGAAGCTTTCAAGGAACAAGTTGTGGTGAAACTACTTTACCTTGTAAACTCCCCTCCCCTTAAAACTATTTCTACTCAGTGGATGTGAAAAAGAATAACTAGACATTAAAGGTTGTTTTGTTTTCATTTTGAACTTCATAGTAGCTCTTCATCAAGGTAAGAAAAAAGAGGAAGTCAGAATTCACCTGCACTTCCAATATGGTGTCACTCTTCCCTCTGACTAGGGTTTCATGGCAGCTGTCATTGTAGTTCCATCTACTATGGGTTCTCAGGCAACTGTTACAATTTCCCTGTAACTATTTATTTATCTACTCTTTTATTCTTTCTTCTTTCTCTCTTCTATTTCATTCTTTTGCCTTCTTGTTTCCACTAGTATTTCTGAAACTATGTCAAATAAATACAGGGAATGGGCAATTTCTTGCTTTATTCCTGTATTTGGAATCTTTTAGTTTCATGATGGAATGCTTACATGTGTTCTGGATAATACATAATAGAGTGAAGCAGGGATGTGTGCTTGCTCCTATGCTTTTTTAGCATGATGTTTTCAATGATGTTGTCAGACACCTTCAATGGGGATGAAAATAACATCAAGGTCAGGTACCACACTGATGGTAAATTATCTAACTTGAAAAAGTTGCAAGGCAAGACTAAAATGGAGGGAGAGTTGGTATGTGACTTTTTCTTCACAAATGATTGTACACTCAGTGCAGCCTGTGAGACTGAGATACAACAGAATATGGATTGATTCTCTACTGTTTCTGCTAATTTAGGCCTAACAATAAACCCCAAGGAAACAGAAATTCTCTACTAGCCAGTACCATACCATCCGTAGATAGAATCCTCAGTTACAGTAAATGGAGAAATTTTGAATGCTGTGGATGAGTTCATTTATCTTGGCAGTATACTTTCCATGGGCATACTATAAATGATTAGGTTGGTACATACATTGCCAGAGGTATCTCAGTATTTGGGAGACTACTGAGGAAAGTGTGGGAGGAAAGAGGTATTAGACTTTCTACTAAGCTGAAGATCCGCAAGGCCCTTGTGTTGACCTTATTGTTGTATGTCTGTGAAACCTGGACAGTATACCAGCACCATAACAGAAAATTGAATCACTTCCATTTGAATTGTCTTAGGAAGACTGAAGATTATCTGGCAGGTACTGGATGCTGAGGTCCTTTCTCAAGCTGAACTGCCAAGCATTCAAACTGTGGCAGAGAGCATAACTCCGAAGGGCTGGCAATGTTGTTCAAATGCCAAACATATATTCGCTAAAAGACCATTTTACTCTGAGAATGCACACAAGGCAAGCAGTCACGTGGAAGTCAGAAGAAGCAATACAAGGACACTCCCAATGTGTCTCTTAAGAACTTTGGAATTGATTATGAAACATGGGAAACACTGACTCAGCATTCCATGGTCACAACACAGAAGATACTGTGCTCTATGAGCAGCAGAATTGCAGTAGCTCAAAAGAAACTCAAGATGTGCAAATTTAGAGACATCTCCATTCCAAATGTTCAAATGGACTATTTGTGCCTGACCTATCGTAGAGCCTTCCAAGCTCGTACTGGTCTGAGCAGCAATACTTAGACACACTGTACCTTGATCCTAACATTGTGATGTCATTTTGATTCTCTTGTAGAACAAAAGACAACAATCACATTTAGAATCTTCTTGCATTCCTCTCTCACATATGAACCCAGCTTGTGATTTTTGTATATGCATGTTTTATATATTTTTTTAATGTTCCTTTTATTCCTAGACTTTTTTTTTTGAAAAACAAAATCTGTGTTATATATTTTAAAAGTATATTTCTAAATTTAGGTGTCATAAATACAAAGCCAGAAGCGACCTTGGAGACTATCTAGTCTCACCCCTTCATACTACAGATGAGGAAAAGAGATATTAAGTGACTTACCTAAGGTCACACAGTAAAAATGTCAGAACTCAAACCCTAGTCCTCTGACACCTAATCCAATACTTGTTCATCTATAACACACTATCTGAATAGTGTTATTTTTGATGTAAGTATATTCATTGTTTTCTTGATACTGAATAATTTCTGTATGCCATTAATATATCCAATTTTATCAAAGTGAATATTTCTTTTTACTATATTGCTATTGTTTGTTCTGGACAGAATTTTGTTTAGAATGTTTAAATCAATAGTCATTAATGTATTAACTTATAATACGTCGTAAGTTTGCTTTGTTCTTCCCTTGTTTAGCTATTAGGAATATATGTGTCTTATTAAAAGAGTTTTATAAAGTCTTTTCTTTCTCCTTTATTTTAGAATAATTAGGTATTATCAATTTTTCAAAGTTTGATGGAATTCATGTAACTATAAATCTATGTGCAGGTCCTGAAGATATCAAATATCACAGATGAGTTTACTTAGATATTGGGAAGTATCGTTTATTTCTGACTTAAGGAAAAGCTATCCCAAAGACATAAACATACATATATACATATACATGTTATGTATTTAGCATATAAATATATGTCATATATTTTTGTATATATACATATAAGCACTATATAGGACTTTCCAAAAGTCTTAGTACAGTTTTAAACCTTAGTGGCTTAGAATAGAATTTGGGGACATACTATATATTTATATTTTATATACTGAGAGTTATGTTTTCAATTATTCAGCATATAGTACTTTTAGAAAGCTTTTCCCACATTACAATAACTATCATTTACCTAGCACATGTCACACGTTATTTTTTTTAATGCTCAACACAATACTGAGGGGTAGGTACTACAGGAAGCATTATTCCATTTTACAGATAAGGAAACTAAATTTGAGGGAGGTTAAGGGACTTATCTATTCTCTTGAAGGTAGCAAGTGTCAGAAGCAGGATTTGAATGAGGATTTGTTTTAATCTGTGTCTGGCACACTGTCTACT